GATAACCTTAATTTTAGAAGACAAAGCATTTTCTCTCTAGAAAAGGTTACATTTATTTCTGTAAGGTGTTGCAAGAGACAGAGTCATCTTAATACAAACTGAGTTAGAATAAAATAAAATTTGAAAGTACCTGAAGGGCATCCTGATATTCAGCCTCTCTGCATACTTGCACAGTGTGTCCCATGGAATGTGAATTTTAATAAACATGATATCAGGGCTTGCAATAGCTGGCTGAAAAAAAAATAGCAAGACAGGCACCATTACTTAAAATCAAGATTGATTATATCATGCCACAATTTAATTTGGGAGGAAGGAGCATTGTGCCTTTGGCTACGAATGAGTGATTGTCACTGACACAAAAGGAATTTATATGGATAACAAAGTATTAATGAAAGAAAACCTTAATAAAATTTAATCATGCCATTGAGTACAAGAAATAACCACATGTAAATGAGTGCATTTTCTCACATTGATTATTATAAAAATCTGGAGTCCGCAGTCAAAACAATCATGAGCCAATTAAGAATCTGAAGTTATTCTTGACAGACACTTTATTATGAACCTCTCATTTCTGTTCAAAGGGGTTAGAAAACACTGCCAGTTGCCACCAGTCACTCATTAGTTAATTCAGTTTTTTGTGTTTTTTTGTTTTGTTTTGTTTCACCAAATTTTATTGAGTGATAACTAGGTCCTCAAACTACTTATTAGGTTTTGTGATAATCCTGTAAAAAAAAAAATGGAGTATACAAGTCTATGATTTTACAGAGTTGCCATATTTGCATGCCTACTCTAACCTTTCAGTCCACTTTTACTTCTATCAACAAATAAGAATTTAAGTGTTTTTAATCTAGAAAAGGGTTTTTAGAAAGAGTCAAGTATATATCAGAATTACCTAAGGAGCCTCTTACAAACGAAGTATTCCAGCATAATTTTTTCAAAACTCCAGAGTTGAATTCCATTGTTAGAATACTTTAATCATATCACTAATCAGAGAATCAGATGCCTTTCAGAATCTGATAATCATCAAGATTCTTCGACTTGGTCCAGCAAACTAAAATAAGTAACTAAATAACTGACTAAATCAGCACTGTATAATACTCATGTCCATGGTCTACCTTTAAAAAAAAAAAAAAACCTAGACAGTTATTTCCCAGAGTTTCTAAAATATCTAACCATCACAGAGCAATGAACAAGTATGTGGCCATTCTAACATCGAATTCTACACAGCTTATTCTTCATGTGATAGTAGGAGCTGAACATCTGTATAGAAAGAACTGCTGTTTGTTTCCACTTAGACACACCCACCAAGTTAGACACAGCTGAGCTCCATTTGGCCAACAATGTTCATTTAAATTTCTAGGAGATGGAACACCTCAAGAAACATGCCTATCTTAAAAGCTCAAAAATGGGGAAGGGGCTGGCCGCATGGCTCACTCGGGAGAGTGCGGCGCTGGTAGCGCTGAGGCCGCGAGTTCGGATCCTATATAGGGATGGCCGGTTCGCTCACTAGCTGAGCATGGTGCAGACCACACCAGGCCACACCATTGCCATCCCCTTACCAGTAAAAAAAAAAAAAAAAAAATGGGGAAGAAATTTATCAGCTTAAGTTAAAATTAAATGCAGTTTTAAAATTAAACTATAACATTTTTATATTTATATAGCCCCATATTCTAAACATGGCTAGTTTCATGGATTTGCCAGAACAATATTTCAAATTTGTACTACCAATATATTTCTCAGACCAACATTTGCCAAAGTTTGTTCCACAAAGTATTATTTTAAAAAAAAAAAAGGCGAGGGACAGACATTCTATGACCAAGTAAATTTTGAGTTTCTCACTAAAAGACACTTGAGACATTTTAGTATCCACATACTGGCTGAAAATATCCAAACAGATAAAAAAAATGCTGAATCTCCAAATGTTAGGACCATGAATTTTTTTTTCCCTCATAGCTTACTAGTATTTTGCAGATCAGCACAAGGAAAACAGCAAAAGATGATTTACTGTCAGTACAATTTCCAAAGGATTTTTCCTATCTGGAATATGTTTGTTTCCAATTAAAAGTAAAGGATTATGGAAATGAAAATTGGCAATGCCAGTAGACATAGTATGTCTCAAATATATACAGGCCTGTATACTCAGACCAAGGTTATATATGTTAGCTATGCTTGGGAAAAAATATGTAATTTTTTTAAACCATTGATTCATTCCAACAGCTATTTGTTTAAAAATATATTTATCATCCCAGGTGGAAATTTGTCACCGATCAAGGAAAATAAAAGAACATTATGATGTTGGTATTTCTAGGCTCCTTTTAGTAAATGTTCCAGACTTGGTGGAAAGTTTCTGTGCAGGAATGGTAAAGACAAGAAAACGCTTTTAAAACACAAAAAAGCGTAAGCATCCATCTATTTAAATGATTGCTTTATCCAGGGCAAGTGAAAGACACACTTTATGTTTTATCATAAATTTTCCTGCCTTATTTATGCAAAGGTTTTTATCTTCAAAACAACCACAAACATCTTTCTTTTGAAATTATGTTGTTGGCTACTGGAATAATACCAATTTGCCTTTCCCTTACCAAGCACTGTTTAAGCTACTTCGGTCCTGACTGCCCACTTAGAAGAAATCACATGGTGTGGTAGAAAAAGTATGGTGTTTGGAATCACAAAGACTTAAGTACAAATTCTGTCCCTACCATTTTTTAGCTCTATGACATTGGGAAAATTACTCAAGCCCTCTGACTCTCAGCTTTCTCACCTGAGATATGAAGAGAATAATCTCTGCCTCACAGAGTTGTTGTGAATGTTATGAAGATTGGCCATGTAAAGTGCCCGTGCCTAACGGGCTCTCCAGAAATGTTTGCTCTCAGTGGAGAGCAAGCTACCCAAAATAACAGCTAATTTTGAAGCTTCACTGGAATTCTTCTCTCTTTTCCCCTCAGCAGGTAGCTGTCTGATTCATCTTTGGTGGAGCCCGCTCTTTGGTTTTGTAATCTTCTGTAATAGGCCTTTGAGTTATATAAGCATAAAGCCAGTAATAACCTCTGGTTTGGGAAAAAAACTGAAGCACAGTGATTGAATCAGATTTAATTTGCGTTTAATCTTTTTCTTTGTTAAGATAACTTAGGTATAAATTGCTTAAAAAATGCTAATTACCCTAGCATTATCATACTTTGTATACATGTATTGAAATATAACTCTAAGTTTAATCTTTTTCTTTGTTAAGATAACTTAGGTATAAATTGCTTAAAAAAATGCTAATTACCCTAGCATTATCATACTTTGTATACATGTATTGAAATATAACTCTATACCCCATAAATATGTCCAATCAATATGTGTCAATTAAAAAAAATAAGTAAATGGAAACAAAAACTAAACAAATAAATGATAAATGTTTAAGGTGATTGATATGCTATTTACCCTGACCTGATTATTACACAATGTGTACTTGTATTAAAACATCATGTTCTACCCCATAAATATGTACAATTATGTGTCAATAATAAACAAAAAAAATAATATAGAATGACAAAAACTACATTTCCATGGACTTTATTATAGTTTCTTTGGAAGATTTGTCCCTTTCCCCTTTATGTATTTAAATTGTCCTATGCCTGTATATTATTGTTTGTTCCTGGGGAGATATAGGTTCTTATTTAGCAATTATTCAAAGAGAGTGAAACTGAGACCCTGAAGGTTACAGAAAATCCATCCAGTCCTCATTTCCCCCAGATGCTGGAAGAGGGACCTCCATGAACATAAATGAATCTAAACTTGGACAGAATCAGTCAATATCAGACTGTGACGTATAATTATTTAAGACTGAATAACCAAAACCTTGAGAAATGCATTGATCATTCGCATTCTCTCTAATGATTCCATGTGAGTTTGAAAGTGGGAATCTCTAGTGTGGAAGAATTAGATGCTGGGACAAGAAATAGTTTCTCAGGAGCTGGGCCTTATTCTGATGTGAATGAAGATCTCGTTCTGCCTCAGAGCATCATGGTTCCTGAAGCCTAGGCATGTGAGTTGCCAGACTGCAGAAGTAGCATGAAGGAGTGACTAATATGTGTATGCTGGGAGAGATCTGGGAAGGTATAACCCCCATGGCAGGAAAACCTGGGTTTCATACTACTGGGTTGTTCCTGATTTGTTTTGCCTTAGAATACATCTAGCGAGAATCCGATCCCTCCCAGCTACCACCCTGGTTTAAGCCAAGCCATCATCGTTTCTGCTCTGGACTTCTGCGGCACTTTCCAGCAGTATCATTTACTCACATTCTTGCTCCCAACATGCTATTCTTAACAAACTGGTTAGAGTGATTCTTTAAAACATAACTCAGGTCATGCCATTTCTCAGAAACCCATTTCATTGAGAGTGAAAGCCAAAGTTTTTTCAGTGCCCTACACAGCCTTTAAAAACCTCCTCTGCTACCACTCTCTCTTTCACTCACTCCTCTTCCATCTCTTGGTCTCTTGCTGCTTCTTGCTTGCCCTCGCCCTGTCCTTCTTATGCATTTGCTTCTGTACATGTCACCAGAGAAGACACTTTTTTGTTTATTTATGCAAGCACCTAGTTCTGTGCTAGACACACAGTAGGCACACACTAGGCATTTGGTGAATGGATGAACGAGGTAATTTATTTTGAGGATACATTCTGTGTATCGTATACCTAAGCAGCAGATGATGGAATGAGAAAGCACATAAGCCTCAACTATTCCGAAAGAGGCTGCTATGTTAGGGTTGAAATTAGCATCAGGAACGGCTTGCCTAGCACTCATTATTAATTCATTAATAGATAAGCCTCTAGAATATGAAATAATATAATGCACTTGAATAAAGGGGATGCTTTAGAAGGGTGTTTCAGCATTACATTGACTACCTTCAATGAGTGAAATGTCAAGTTAAGTGCACATACAGCTAGAACATTTCTCATTTTATATGTCTTGAAATATATATAGGTCTTTTTTAAGCAGAATGAATTGTTGTCTTTTATAAATTCCTCAACTTAATTTCTCTTTTGTTATGCTTGTGCTTAAAAAAACAAAACAAAAGTAGTTTCATTTTCTTGCAGCTACTGGGCAGGGGCCTGACGAAGGGATGGTTCTGTCAGGAAGAAAGATTACCTTCTCCTTTGGAATCAAAAGCTGCCAATCTGGCACTATTCTCTTCAGCTCTGAGGAAGGCACGCTCTCAGAGGGAACAAAACACCCAACACCTTCACAC